TGCTCATGCTGGGTGAGGCCTGACCCAGCACTTCGACCGCATCACCAAGGACCTGCCTGTCTCTCTGCCAGAACCCCCAAGAAATCGGCTTCACCCCTGTGGCCCTCAGGCCACTGTCCACGAGAACCCTGGCTGTGTGCTGCCCAGGAATTAGCGTCCCTGCACGTGTTAGGCACCTGCTCTGGCAGACCCTGAGACGAGTATTATTAGAATCCCCATCCTGTGACGACGACACGGAGCCTTGGAAGCACTAAGAGGCGGGTTAGTGTCACTCGTAATTCATCTCACTGCCCCTTTTTTTACCGATTACGGGCACTTTCAAGCTGAGGTGTAAACGCAGTCGCACACTCAGTATTTACTCCGAGCTGGGTAGCTTGCAAGAACCCTGTTAGCTTCTCTGTGCTCTCGCTTCCTCCTCTGTGTGACAGGAATAACCAAAGTCCCACACAGGGCGACCATGGGGCTGAGTGAGTGAATCTATAAAATGTAAAATGAAAGGATCTCAGAGAGCTTGCTTCAGGGAGCTCTGGCTGAGTAACAAATCATCCCAAATCACAGCGGCTTAAAATAGCAACAACCATTTATTCGCTTGTGATTCTGTACCTTGAGCAAAGCGGAGAGGGCAAGGCGAGGCTCTATTCTACAGGGCATCAGCTGGGAGCTGGGTGAAAATATCCGAGATTGCATCACTCGTGTCTGGCCCGTCAGCCAACACAGCGGAGCCGCTAGGGGCTGGCTGGGCCTCTCTCTATCCACGTCTGTCTCCATGTCTCCCTCCAGCGGAGTAGCTGGACTTCTCTGTACAGCAGCCCAGAGCCCCAAGAGAGGGAAAGCAGAAGCTGCCAGCCTCTTAAGGACCCACCCAGCACATCACCACTTCCATGGCATTCTACTGGTCAAAACAAGTTACAGGCCAGTCTACATGAAAGACGAAGACGCTCCACCTCCTGATGAGAGAAACAGCAAAGAATGTGTGGCCTTCTGCAGTGGCAGCCTTTTAAATCGCAGGACAGCAGCCTTGTCACTGGTCTCACTACTTCAATACTCAACCCCTTATTGTCAGTTCCCCCACACGACAGCCAGAGGGATTGCTGATATACAAGACTGACTGCATCTCCTCTCACGCCTTAAAACCCTTCTGTGACTTCCCACTATACATGGGGTAAGGACCCAAATTCCTTACGGGGGCTACATGACCTGGCCTCTTGCTCCCCCTCAGCCTCTAGGTTCCAACCAACAAACATGCGTGTGCACACACATACACACACACGCACACACACACACTCTCTCTCACCTCTTTATTTTTTAAAAGACTTTATTTATGAGAACGGGGTGGAGGAGCAGAGGGGGAAGGACAAGCAGACTCTATGCTGTGCACAGAGTACAATATGGGGCTTGATCTCAGGACCCTGAGACCATGACCTAAGCCGAAACCAAGAGTTGGACACTTAACTGAACTGTGCCACCCAGGCATCCTCACACTTTTACCCCTTAATGGAGCACCTTAGTGCCTACACTTTCATCACCTGAACCCCACTTCCTAGGGTCCAGATTAGATTTCTGGCCAAGTGCTCCTATGGCACTCTCTAACTTTCTTTGTAATTTCCTATCTGTGGGATTAGCTGAGGATATGAACTCCCACTCTTGAGACTGAATTCTCCTGGGACAGGGAAACTGTTTTGTTCTCTGCTGTGTTCCCGATGCTCAGCACGGAGCAAGGCAAGATGAAATACTTGTTGAATGTCTTAGACATCAGAAAACTTTAAGGCAGTCCTCTAAAGTCCTGTGGAAAAGGGATGGACAGAGTCCCTAGCATGTTGGATTAGAATCTGTGTCTTGAAAGCGCCCACTGAACCATCCTTTCGGTAAACAGTTACTGAGCCCCAACTATGTGCCAGGAGTGCTTTTATTTATTTTTATTATTTATTTATTTATTTATTTTTTTAAAGATTTTATTCATTTATTTGACAGACAGAGATCACAAGTAGGCAGAGAGGCAGGCAGAGAGAGAGAAAGGAGGAAGCAGGCTCCCCGCTGAGCAGAAAGCCCGAGGCGGGGCTCGATCCCAGGACCCTGGGATCATGACCTGAGCCAAAGGCAGAGGCTTTAACCCACTGAGCCACCCAGGCGCCCCCCAGGAGCGCTTTTAGATGCTAAAGATAAAGCATGAAGTAGACAAAGGCCCCTGTCCTCATGAAGCTTATGGTCTGCTGTGGGTACAGAGAACAGAGAGACAATGATCACGATAAATAACCTATATAGTGAGTTAAATAGTGATGTGATTAATCCTAAGGAAGAGTTAAAGAGAAGTTAATATACAAATATCAGTTATAGTGCTCGCTTCGGTAGCACATATACAACTATCAGTTATGTAATTCTAGAACGGTGGCCAGGGAAGTTCTCAGGGAGAAGATGATATCTGAGTAAAGACCTAAAGGAGATGAACATGAGCCTCTACTATCTAGAGAAGAGTGTTCCAGGTAAAGGGAGTAAGTGTAAAGGCCCTGAGGCGAGGGTGGCTGGAGCAGAGTGAGCAGGGTAAAAGGAGCAGGTAGAGAGGTAAAAGGGACGGATCATGCAGGGCATTGCAGGGATCACGGGCCTTGCAAAGGCCACGGAAAGAACACTGGCAATTCCTGTATTAGACAGAGCCACAAGAGGGTACTGGACAGCAGAGAAATGCGCCCTGATATAGGTATTCAGTGTCCCGCTGGCTGCGTATGAGAAACAGACTGTGGGGAGCACGAAGACCACTGAGGGGGCTGTTGTGATGGTGTAGGCAGGCCGTAAGAGTGAACAGGACCAGGGTGACAAGAGTGGAGGTGGAAAAAATGGTCAGGTTCTGAATATACTTTGCTGATGGACCAGACATAAGTATAAGACAATGGAGGCAGCACTTACTGTGGGACAACAGGTTTTGCGGAAAAGACCGGAGTTCAGTTTGGTCAAGACAGGTCTCCAGATGACTACAGATATCTTGAGAGAAGAGATATCATGTGGGCAGTCAGTCAGCAGGTCAGGGAGAGGTTCTGGGCTTGAAACTGAAATGTGGGACATACATTTCCATGCTTATCTTAAATTCCTTAAGGGACCTACATGATCTGGACCCTGCTGATGTCTCAAAGTTCATCCTCCATCTTGCTAAGTTAATGGTTCTCTCTCTCTCTCACACTCACACTCACACACACACACACACACAATCCTGGGCCTTCCATTTGCTAGCTATGTGATCATGGGTAACTTACTTAACTTTATCTGCCCTCAGTATCTTTGTTTACAAAAGGGAGATCATAACAGCATCTGCCTCCAGTGTTCATTCAAAAAAAAATTTTTTTTAAATTAAGCATCTACCATACGCCAGGCGCTGTCCGACCTGCTGGAGATAACTTTTTCCCTGCCCCTCTCTACCTCCCCTTTCCACACAGCCTGTAAGCCATATATCCTGTCAGCTCAGCCTTCTGGACACCTCTCCTACACATACCCTTTCTTCTGTCCCAACCAAGACTCCTGCCCTAGTTCATTCCCAACACCTTTTGCCCAGGATGGTGCCACAACCACCACCCTGGGCTCCCAGACCCCAGTCTCTTTCCCATCAATCTATTCCTCGATGGCAGCAAATGGGCCATGCATGCCCCTTCCCTTCTACAAATCCTCCCGTGGCTCCTCAATGCCCTTAGGACAAAGCCTAAGCTCCCTAAATGGCCTACAAAATCTTTCGCGATCGAATTCATACAAACTTTCCATTAGATCTCCTACACCACATCTCCCGCAGTTCACATTCACACAACAGGCTGCTTCTCATCGCTGCCTGTGCGCAAACCACCGCACCACGGCCACCGCAAACATCCTGTCTCCAGGTCTCAGCGTCGACAGCTCCTGCTCCTCCCAGAATGCTTCCCCACCCGTGCCTCCCCTGGGTTCCCTCCACGTCCCACTCTGCCCCCTTTCCCGAACATTCGCTCTCTTCGCTTGGCTCTTCTACCGACCGGGCCTTCCTGCGAGCTGAGCCGGACACCGCGGCTAGGGATGCTCCGCGCGTTGGGGGCACTTTGGGCCTCAGCGCCTACCTCTTGTTCTGTGACCACAGACACCTGACCTGTACGGTCTCGCGGAGCAGCACCTTCGCCCAACTGCCGCACGCCTGAGAACTCAATACTCGCGCACAGCCTTGCCGACGCTACCCAATCACGGCCGCCTTCTCCCCCACAGCCCGCCTCAAAGCATCCGGGCACCCCCATCCGTCTCTGAATGCCTATTGGCACCCCGGGAGCCCGTCCCTAACTCGTGAGCGAAAAGAATCCTGGTCTTTGTAGTCCTCTGACGAAAAAGGGGAAAGGGACTGCTACGTAGAACTCCATTTCCCAGGAAGCATCGCGCCCCAGTGGCAGGAGATGGTAGGTACCTTCGAATCAGGAGGCTCTTGTTTGGCCAGTTGGGAGACAAGTTTCCAGATTGCTATGGAAAGAGACCCACTTACCTGGAACCCTGGGAATATCTTTCTGCCCGAGAATCTCAAAATGCTTTTCTCCGTCATGGCTCCACAGGGTGAGACCAGACGGCGGGGGTAAAGCCTGTACCCACTGTCTGCCTGCCATCCCCCAGATGGCACCAATAAGGCATGCTACATGCATTCAGCACCTGCTAGATGCCTGCCTGGCATAAAGAGCCACGCCCCTGCAGACTCTGTGGAAGCCCTGGCTTATTAGGGCAGATCCTGATGTTTTCCAGAGACAGGCCAGAACTGGGCTTTACTCTTTCAGGGTCTCTGTTTACCAAGGAAAAGACAAACGTGGGCTAGGATCCTATCCAGGATCTCTGTCTAGGATTCCGTAGCCCCGGACCTCCTGCAGCCCCATGTCTGCGCCAACAGCCATAACTTCCCCAGGGACGCATCCCACATGACAAAGCTCTTCTGGTACCCCCTCCCCAAACACCATTCCCCACCACGCCTCTGAGGGCCCGGTGAGAGAGCCGAGGCCCTGCAAACGCTCAGGCAGGCATGTGAGAAAGCTCTTTACTGGGGGGTACAGCAAGGAGGAGCAAGGCCATCTCCCCCTACCTGCCCCCACCCCCTCCTAGGGCCCGAGGGTGAAGGGGGTCTCCCCCCGACACCGGACCACCACTGTCTTTGGTACAATAAATAGAAAACAAGGGAGGGGAGAGGGGGCTAAGGGTCCAGTCCTTACAGGGAGGGTGTGCCTAGACCCCTCTCCTTGACCCCCTGCCCCAGGCCCCAATCAGTGCAGGCCTCACCCACCCCAGCTGGGTAGCAGCAATTCCAGTCAAGGGGAGAGATGAGGATGGGAGCCCAGGGCCCCCAGATGGGGGGTATGGCTTCAGGAGGGGCCCCAGGGAGGGGGCTGGGTCATGAGCTGGCTGCCGTGCTCTGGGGTACACCACGGAGGCCCAAGCGAGGCCCCAGAGTGGCAGGGTTATCAGGGGGTGGGAGGGGTGGACGACCTCCTGTCATCCGAGTCCGGAGGGCTGAGGCAGCCGGGTGCTGGGGGGCAGGCGCTGGGTGAGGTGGGGAGCAGTCTGGAGGGCCGCCCACCAGGCTCACATCCATCAGCTCCGGGGGTGGTGGTGAGGTTGGTGATGGGGGACGGCCAAGGCATCGGGGTTGTGGGGATAACTGGGCCCCGGCCCCTGGCAGTGACGAGGCGGAGGCAGGGGCTTGATGTGTCTTGTGGGGCACATCACCCCCTGCCCAGGGGCGCAGCGGCTGGGAGGGTGGGACCTAAAGGAGCAAAGGAACAGTGGGTGATGGAGACCCAGGTCTTAAAGTCCCAGATACCCCACTACCAACTTCCAAGTCCCCAAGGCCCCCAGTACCTGGGGGCTGTTCATCTCACAGTCAGTGATGGGGGGCCCAGGGCCCCCACAATATCGGTTGCTGTATCGGTAGGTCCGGTTGTCACTGGAGGAGCCACTGGAGCCTCCTGGAAGTGCCAGGGGAGAAAATGAGGAGAAACCTTAAGTGAGGAGAGGTGGTGGTAGGGTCTTTTGGTGGCTGAGTCTGGTTTGTGACCCAGGCCCAGGACTTGGGACCAGAGCCTATTTGAAGGATGGGGCACAATTTTCAGATTACAGTCAGAGCTCACTTCCGGGTATCAGAGTCAGAAGCAGTTTTAGAGGTGTGAGCTCAAGCTCAATTTCAGAGACCAGGTCAGAGCCCTCTTTGCCCCACCCATTCTCAAATTCAGGGTGGCGCAGCTTCACAGCTCTAGGTGAAGGCCCAGGGGGGCAAGGTCCCCCAGGTCAGGCCAAACCAGAGCTACCCACCCTCCCTCCCTTCCCTGTTCGGCCCCACTGGCACCGGGCACCCACCAGAGCTGGAGATGGAGCTGGCGGTGCTGGAGGAGGGACAGGTGTCAAGGGGTGCGGGCGAGGTGGAGGCACTGCTGCCTGCCGGGCCCGTGTTGGTGGCCTCATCAGCCGTGCGGCGGAAGAAGCCGTGCTGCAGAGCCCCCAGTGGGCTGATGCGGGCGGCGGGCTCATATTCCAGCATGCGCAGCACCAGGTCCTGGAAGCGGAGGTAGTCGGCGGGGCTGTGGCCCGGCTCCCCCGCCCGCCGGCCCCCGGGCCCGCCCGTCTGCACGCCCAGCACCTCCTGCAGCCGCCGTGTCCCGGGGCCCTGGTAATCCTGGCAGGGAGGGGGTGGGAGGGGGGGCAAGAGAGTGGCCGTCAGTGGGCAGGAGGGGCAGGGAGACACACACGGGGAAACAGAGGCACAAGAGAGAAAGTGGAAGGAAAGAAGCTAAGAAGAGTTGTGGGGTGGTTAGGAGAGATGGGTTGGACTGGGACGAAGGAAAAGGACAGACAAGGGGGAGAGGAAGGAAGGGAAAGACACAAGGGAGAGGAAGCAGGGAGAAAGGAAGCCCCAAGTGTGAGAGAGTGAGGGGCCACCAGGGTGGGAGGAGCGGCACGGGGCAGGGGCCGCACCTTCCTGAGTTCCTTTGTCCTTCGTAGGGTCCAGCCACCCCCAGGCAGCCGTTCAAAGTACTTGCGAGCCTTGGGTGCCTGGTCCAGCATGGGGGCTGGTGGGATGCCCAGCACCTCCACTATCCGGTTCATCTGGTCCACCTGTGAGCAGGTGGGCAGTCAGGGTTAGCAGGCCAGCCCAGCCGGGCCTCTGCCCCCTCCAGCACACCCCCCTCCCCGGGAGCACACCTCATTGGAGCCACTGAAGAGGGGCTCTCCGGTGTGCATCTCCACCAGAATGCAGCCCAGGGACCACATGTCAATGGCCAGGTCATAGGGTGTACCCAGGAGCACCTCAGGCGACCGGTAGAAGCGGCTCTGGATGTACTGATAGATCTGGGGGTGAAGCAGGTTAGAGAGCCACAGTCAGAGGTCCCAGCCTCCTCGAATGGCGCTGCTGACATACCCAAGGCTAAGATAAGCTTCCTTCCATGAAAACGGAGAATAGGGGCTCCAAACCTTGAGGTTATCAGCACCCACCTTCCAGGAGCCACCACCATCATTTAATTCATCAGCCTCAGAAGTCTCTGGTGGCCTAGTCTGACCCAGATCTCCATCCCAAAGCCTGACCCTGAACCTCTCTTGGTTATCGAAGGTCAGCAGTGCATGAGCCCAAGGCCCTTGCCACCCACCCAATCCAGACCCTTTCCAAGCCATCTCAAATGCCTGTTCACACGACGCTGCAAAACTAAAGCACCCGCCCCACACTTCCTCCATAGCATTAAAAGCACAGGGTCAGCAAACTTATCCAAGTGCCACTCCTGGCTTACCAAACCGACTCCACCCTGCCCCCTCCAACGGCCCAAAGCTGGCCCTGTCTCCTCGGGCTTCTCTCTTTCTTTCCTACTGGGTACTATACCCTGCGGCCCTCTCCTTTACCTCTCCCATTCACTGGCCTTAACGACTCTGTGCCGCAAACACCCCGTCCCAATACTATCCTTCAAGCACCGGCCACGTCGGGCAGCACCATACAACCCCCGCCCCGCCCCTCGGACGCCAGTCACCAGCTGGCCCCGCCCCGCCCGGACCACACCCACACCGGGAGCCCCGCCCCCACACCATCCCGCCCCGCCCTGTGCCGCACCCGCTGGCCAAGCTGGCAGGAGCTGCCAAAGTCCACGATCTTGATAGCGCTGCGCTTGGGGTTGCAGAGCAGGATGTTCTCTGGCTTGAGGTCGCAGTGAATGATGCTGAGCTCGGGCGTGGCCAGGAAGAGCAGCGCTGTGCAGAGCTGCTGCGCCAGCTTCCGCGTCAAGTTCAGCGAGACGCCGCGGAAGTGCGTGTTGCGCAGGAGGTCGTACAGGTTGTAGGAAAGCAGCTCGAACACCAGGCACAGGTGGTTCCGGAACATGAAGTGCCGCTTCAGGTGCACTGTGGGCAAGGGGGTGGACAGGGACCGACGGAGGAGCTGAGGCTCAGAGAGGGCCAGAGGCGGCCCGGGGCACAAAGTAATAAGAGAGGCCGGAAGCTGATCGGGGATTCTGCTTCTGCAGCTCTGGCCAAACTGTGGGGTGCCCACAGGAAGCGGCGGCTAGTCAGGTCGTTTTTATATGGTCTAGAACTTGAGTCACATCAAGAGAATGATTTCCGTGATAAAGACAAGTTCATTCTCTTCAAGTCTCTTGTCAAACTTTTTTTTTTTTTTAAGATTTTATTTGACACAGAGAGTGATCACAAGTAGGCAGAGAGGCAGAGAGAGAAGGAGAAGCAGGCTCCCTGCCGAGCAGAGAGCCCGATGTGGGCCTCGATCACAGGACCCTGAGATCATGACCTGAGCTGAAGGCAGAGGCTTAACCCACTGAGCCACCCAGGCGCCCCATCTTGTCAAACTTTCTGATAAACCAAAGAGAACGTTTCCTTTTGGTGCCAATGGATCTTTAATGCCCTTCTACATTTCCTCACTTAATTTTCTACCATTGTTTTAGTCTCAGTTCTGTTTATTTTTGTGCAGCGGATACTGGCTTTCCATTTAGGGTAAGGATGTGTATTTAAGGAAACACACTCTTTCAATGCGCTTGCTTTTTCTAAGAGCAATCAATGAGTATGGGAAAGAGGAAAAAGACTGACATAGATGTTAAGAGGACAGGTGCTGGAGCCCACTACCTGGTGAGATTACAGCCCTGGAGTACAAACGTTGTGACCTTATCCAAGTGATAGCATCTACATGCCTGTCCTCTTCTCCAAGCTGCGGGCCAAGATGCCCCTTCCCCCCAGGGCCGTGGTCAGACTGAAACCAGTTAATTCATGAAAAGTGCTTGCAATAGGCTTGCAGCGGCGAGCACCCAATAAACTCCGACTGGCACCATCATGGGCATAGGGCAAAAGTCGTGAAGGCGGCAGGAGAATCACTGATATCAGGGAATTACAGACCAGCCCTTGCCCTAAAGACACCAGCCCCATTCCGTACTGGGAGTACCACTGCCCCAGGCCTCACCTATGTAGTACTTCATTTCCGTGTCGTGCTGGTTCATCAGCTCCAGCAGCCGAAGCTCAATCTGGGCCTGGTTCAGGAAGGCCTTTTTGTTCTTGATGATCTTGATGGCCACCAGCTCCTGGGTCTGATGATCATAGGCTTTCACCACCTGCCGGGGCGGGGCATGTCATAAAGTGAGGAAATGGGGGGAAGGGGATGTGGGACAGAGCAGGGCACCACTCTTTTGTGGGTCAACATCAGTGGATGCCCCGATCCCAGGGCCAGGGTAGAGGGGGGCCTCCCACACCTGGCCAAAGGAGCCTTTGCCGATGAGTGAGTCAATCTCGTAGCGCTCCAGCCAGCGCTCGCCGCTGCGCACAATGTAGTCGTGGTTGTCGTCATCATAACCATGATTCAGGACCTTCTTCTCCTTCTTGGTACTCGAGTCCTGAGGTGGTGCCTGCTGGGCCCGCCGCTTCTTCTTCGCATAGTATACCTGCCCAGCCAGCCAGCCAGAAGATAAAGACAGCTGAGTGACCTGCGCTGGCAGCCAGGACCCTTCAGCCCCCAGCCAGGTCCCCTGCTCCCTAGCCCCCCACCCACCTCATTGATGTGCTTGTAGGTCTTGATGAGGTCCACGGAGAGTTTGCGCAGTGGGGCTGAGGTCGCGTCCCGGAAGGCCAGGGGCAGCCTCCGTGGCAACAGCCGCACATCAGGCAATACCTGTGGGCCGGGTTGGGGGGTGGGCACTGAGGATAGGCCTTCACCTCAGACCATGGGAGAACCCTCTGGATGGCTGGGTTATCTTTACCACACACAGATTTACTTGGTTCCTGTGTGACAACCACCAAGATAGAAATTCCCCAAGGGCAGAGACTGTCTTGTTCTTGCTGTATCTGCAGTGCCTGGAGCAGGGCCTGGCACATAGTGGGTGGTCATCAGAGATTTGCTGAGTGAATGAATGATCAACTGTTTACCCTTGACCTTTCACCCCACACCTTTACTCCTTTCTGAACCTCTGTGGGAGAGATTAAATAGAAAATGTGGGCTGTCCTTCCCAGTCCTTCACCTGAGACCATCCATTCTGGGTGTCCCATCTTGAGGGCTGCCATGAGGCTTTACCCTCATCCCATGGGGTCGCCCCATCCCTCACCCCCAACTCTGCACGTTTCTGCCCAGTGTTTTGGGATCCAGCAGCCTGGACCTCCCACTCCATCGAGCTTCAAGCCCTACAGTTCAGAGCCTTGATAGTGTCCACCCTGGAATATTGACTCTATACCCTTAGATGCTGCTGGCTCCAAGATCCTTTTGGCTCAAACTTCACTACCTTTCGCCCCGCCAGCCTGTCTTTTACTCTGGACCTTTTTTCCCTTGGTCAACATTCATTGAGTGCTTCCTAGGTGCCAAGCACCGTTCTCTGCATTTTACATGCATTTCATTAACTTGTTTAACCTCGCAGCAACCCTGTGAGGTAGGTATTATTCTTGGTTCTGCTTTACAGAACAGAAAACTAAAGCAGGGAGAACCTGAGACATTTAACCACCATGTCAGGATTTGAACCCTGGCTCTCCAAACAGATTCGGCCAGCAACTCCTCTATTCTCTTCCACTCCAGATGGGCCCTTCCTGCCCCCGGGAAGCTGATCTGGGTAACCAAAATATCTTTCACCCCCAAGACCCTTCTATCCCCAGCCTCCCCCTACCCCAGGCAGGTGAGGAGCCAGCTGAACGCATACCTGCGTGTGCTCCTGGGGCCCCGGGAAGCCAGAGAAGGGACCATGGCCTGGTGGAACGGCCATGGTGGGCTCAGAGGGCCGCAGGGGAGCGAGGCCTGGAGCGGGAGCCCGGCCGGGGGGGCGCCTTCTCGCATCCTGCACCTCGGCTGCCACCGCCGCTGAGACCTGAGAGTAGGCGGGAGGCAGGGGAACAACATGGAACAAGGGGACGTGTGGGAAAGGGCCAGGCGGGAAAGAGGTGGACATCAGAAAGAAGGCAACACACAGGGAGAGGAGAAAAAGGACAACAGGTGGCAATGTAGAAAGGGGAAAGAGAGGGTGGGGCGGTGGGGGGCGCACAGCAGAGTCCCTCAACAAATGATTACCAAATAAATGAAATAGGTGGCGCAAAAAGGGGACCATATGAACGGGGATGATTGAAAGCCAGGCAGGGATATAGGGCATGAAAGGAAAGGACAGAAAGACACCAATAATCGGGGGGAGGAAGAGAAGAAAAAGAAACCACAGACAGTATAGGGAGTAGGGTTCACTCTTTGGTTCCCATTTTTGCTTGTGGCCCTCCCCAGCGCCCCCTCACACAAGATCCCTGCACTTCAAGATCTACCCTTCCCAGTAGATCCCTAAATCCAGAGAACTCTAGGATCCCCCAAACCACATGAGAGAACTCTGGGTCCCCTCCAAACCCATAGCAGAGTCCTCTGCAGGCCCCTAAAACCGCATCAGGGTCCTGGGGACCACACCAAGGTTATCCTGTTACATAGGATTGTCTTTATATAAAAGAATCCTACCCCTATGACATTCTCATGCATCAGGGCACCTCCTTCCCAGGGGACCCTCCCCATACCATGCAAGACCTCATCCCTATACCATTTTCTCCCACATCAGCCCCCCCCAAGGTACTTTCTCTGTGCCACATCAGGGATCTTCCCCATATTAATCCATGGTTCCCCCTCCCAATCAAGGCTCACTTCTCCTGATGGGAGCAAGGAGGAGGCGTCTCTTCACTCGCCCTTCTCTCCCCTACACTGGATCTTTCCCTCCTCCCCCATCCAATATTCCTACCAGGGCCCTTTCTCCAGTTACTCTTCTCTACATCAGAGTCAATCCACAACTGTGCCCATTCCTAGAAGGCCCCCAGAACCAAATTCCCCAAATATCACATAGAGTTCTCCCCTCCCAGAGTACCTGCCACACCAAAATCCTCTCCCCACAGGCCTTCTCCCATGTCAATCCCTTTCTCCTATGCCAAGCCTTGCCACTCCAGGATCCCTCCTCTCTCTTGGCGCTCCCCCGCCCCTCACCCGAAACAACCTCTTCCCTGGGGCCCTCCCACAGCAGGACCGTCTCTCCCAGCACCCACCCCCTACCCGTGTCAGGGTTGGCGCGGGGCCCACGGGGGGCTGGGGCGCGGTGGGGCCCCCAGTGGGGTGGGCGAGCGGCCAGCATGGCGGCGGTGGCGGCAGAGAGGAGACGGCCGCCTGTCCCGGCCCGGCCGGCCCGGCAAGCCCCGCGGCGGGGAGGGCAAGCGGGACAGGCGGCCCGGTGGGTGACAACAGCAGCCGCCGCCGCCGCCGGGGGCGGGGAGGAGAGGGAACGAGGGTCAGCCCGGGGCACGCGGGGGAAGGGGGAAAGCAGGTGGACGGGGGAGGGGCGGGTTAACACTCGCCCCGCCGGCCCCGCCCCGCACAGCCACCCGCCCCTGGGGACCCAGGCGTCCCGCCCCCCCACCCTGGAGGCCCGCCCCGGTCGGCGGAGCCCTGGCGGGCGGGGCCGGACTGAGCTTGGCAGTCCGCACCTGCCATGGCAACAACCGTGCCATTGGTTGCTGCTGCCAAGAGCTCAACCAATCGCAGCTCAGAACGGCTGTTGCTAGGCGACGACGATGCAGCCGGAGGAGCCGAGCCCAAACAAAGGGCGGGAGCGGGGTCCCGCTACCCCCTCCCAGTCGCCCTCCCAAAACTGCTCCCTCGGGCTCGGCCCCTTCCAAGAATCCGACTATGAATAGTCAGGCACGGCCTGCACTGCACCTGCCCGCCGGCCCCTGCTCTCCTCCCTCGGCCTCGTGCTAAGTCTGGCGGCGACGCGGGCAGGGCGGGTTTGTACTGCCCCCTTCCCGCGAGCTCGTGCCGCCCCACCTGTAGCCGCGTTGTTACCTGAGGGCGCGGGCAAGGGGACTCAAGCTGCTCGGGAAGCCCGAGCTCAGACCTGCCCACTGGCTGAAGGTATCCGGCGGACGCGGCGAGCCAGGGCCCCGATTACCCAGTAATGCAACCAGCAAAATGGCGACCACAACAAACCGGCCCCCCCACCCCAGGCTCCGCCCCCACTCCGCTTCCCCCACGTGACCAAGGGTAACACTCCGCGCCTGCGCGCAGCGAGGCTCACCGGCCGACACGCACAGTATGCTATCAACCCCGCCCAGGCGTCAGAATCCGGGTTACGACTGCGCAAAAGGCAGCCAAGAAAGGAGCATGCGCACGAGCGACCAGATGAAGTTGCCCACCCCCACTCCCGCGCCAGTTGGCGAACGGCGCACGCGCCCTGTGGAATGGCGGTCGCTGCTCAGCCCACAGCGGTGACGGTTGAATTTTTAAAGAAGGCTGCGCTTGAACTCACGACCGCGGTATCAAGACCTGCGCTGAGATCAAGAGGTCCACGCTTAAGCGACTGAGCCACCCAGGTGCGCCTGGAGGAGTCTTTTAATAGAAAAACACACGTGAAACAGTAGCAACATAATCTCTTGGCAAACCAGATGGCCGGGGGTTCAGTTCTTCACCTTGGGAGGTGGCCTGTGCGAGGAAGGAGAGAGGCGATTTCAGAGCTTGTCACCATCTGGGGCACTCCCACCAACGCTGACCTGCAGGGCTCTGTCTGCGCGGGCTGCCTGCCCCTGCTCACCTGTACACACCCACCACCACGGCGTGGTCTCTCTCATACGGCTCCAAGGTCAGCTGCTCCTGGGGCTTCATGTTCTCCTGCTGCATCTTCTTCACTTCAGAGGCAAACACAGCCTCAGCAGAGGCCGTGGAGTCAATGCAGTTGGCCTACAGAAGACAGACTTTAAGTTCGCAGCAAGGCTTTGGGCTCTTGTCCCTATTTTTGTGCTCTTTAAACCAGCAGTATTTGTTTTCATTGGAAACTCTGTGAAACTCAGGTTTTGGAAATGTAGGGAAAGACTTCGTTAGAGAAGTTTTCCAATTTGGTTTGGACTTCACACAGAGACCTATTTATCTTAAAGCCAGTGTTTTAATTTTATACCCAGGTTTTTTTTTTCTTTTTTCCCCTCTTACTTCCTCTTCTTTAACAATAATAATGATGCTGAGAATACTAAAATAAATGTAACAAAAGGCTAACGAATGGTGAATCTGGCTGAAAATCCCTATTTCAAAATAAAACATTTTTCAAATTGCATCTAGCATTCACCTAAAGTTTATTTTAGGGGCGCCTAGGTGGCTCAGTTGGTTAAGTATCTGCCTTCAACTCAGGCCATGATTACAGGGTCTTGGGATAGAGCCTGGCATTGGGCTCCCTGCTCAGCAAGGGAGCCTGCTTCTCCCTCTCCCTCTCCTGCTTGTGCTCGCTGCCTCAAATAAATAAATTTTAAAAATAAATACATAAATAAAATTTTATACCAGGCTCTATTCTAAACACTACATATATATTGATAAATTTAATCCTTATATCAACACTAAAAGAGATATGACTAATCCCTCTACTTGACACATAAAGAAACAGGCAGGCACATAGGTTAGGTAACTTGCTCAGAATCAGTGCAAGCTGGAATTCAAACTCAGATGGTCAACTCCACGATCATGCACTTGACCATTCTTTGCCTTTTAGTTTTGCAGACATTTTCCATCATGTGCTATTTGACTAGGGGCTGGGGGGGACAGGGATAGAGTCTGGGAATAGACTGTCTGGATTAGGAGGATGGAGGGCCCCTTGTTTTTGAGTAGCTGCTTGGCAGTTACAAAGAAGGTACTACCACTCCGTCTTAAACTCCTCCCAGCCCCGCACCTTAATAGAAATCACGAAGTGTCCTCCGTTTCGAAGGAAAGTGTGGGCATTCAGGGCTACGATCCGGGTCTGGTCTGGCTGGGCCACGTCGGCAAAGATCACATCCACCATCGCTAGGGAGAAAGAAGTGACAGTTACAAGCTGGAACCACCCCACCTTCCCAGCTCCTCCCATGAGGCCCCATCACCAGCAGATTCCTGCCAGAGTCTTCCTGCTCCCAGTTTCTTTTCACACCACCGATCCCCCTTCCTCCATTGTGCTCCCAGGATGGGTCCAAAACCCAATCACACTATCCACTCATTCCTCTTGTGAACCACGATTGCCACCTACTCTGTGGCCAGCCCTAGGCCGGGTGTGGGGGACACAAAGACAAGTCAAACCTGGACCCTGCCCTCGAGACGCTCCCAGGTTTGGGGTGGGGGGGGAGGGGAGACAGACATGTCATCAAAAAGGCAAGTAAAGGTGAGCACTTACAGGCAAAAGTGTCTGCGGGACTGTCAAAAGTGACATACGTTGCAGGACAAAGGGTATGGTATGAATGCATGGGGGGGAAAAACAACTCAAAACCAGAGGAATGCAAAGTATTATTTTTAAGCCAATGTGACTGAATAAAAACATGGTATAATGAAAACCGATTTTTTTAAACTGGGGAAAGCGGACAAAACATTGCTCGTATTGGTTACCTCTGAGGGTGGTTTACAAGGAATTCCAGTTTTACATTATGCTTCCAATTTTTTTTAAACACAGTAACAGTCACAATGGGTCCCTCTGGGCCAGACCACACTCAGTTTATCCTTTCTGGGTTATGATCGCCCCAGGTGATGAGGAGGAGGACCTCTGAAGGGGGCTGTTATACGTAAGCCAGGTGCAGCATACCAAGTACCATATTTTAGAGGGAGGCGGGACGTATGAGGGTGCCCGACACCCAAGCTCCACAACCCCACCCAGCTCCCCTCACCCTCTTCATTCCAACAGACTCAGAAGGCCTGCTCATCCACTCTGATTCCATTCCAATAGGGGCTCTGGCCACCTCTTCCAGGAACCCTGGTGTGGCCTGGCCTACACAAGCTGAGCCAACCCCCAGAGCCCTCACCGATGAGCATGCGGTACTTGTGCGGGTGCCGAGCATCCTCGATAACAGGAATAATGTTGGTCCTCTTCTTGGCCAAGTTAATGAGGTCACGGCCAGAGCGGTGGGAGAACTCGACTGCATAGACTAGACCGTCCTAAAATAAATCAAATAATAAAAACACTGGTCCCAGGGGCATCTGGGTGGCTCAGTTGTTAAGCGTCTGCCTTCAGCTCAGGTCATGATCCCAGGGTCCTGGGATAGAGCCCCGCCATCAGGCTCCCTGCTCAGTGGGAAGCCTGCTTCTCCCTCTCCCACTTCCCCTGCCTGTGTTTCCTCTCTTGCTGTCTCCCTCTGTGTCAAATAAATAAATAAAATCTTTAAAACCAAACAAACAAAACAAAACAAAACAACACTGATCCCAGTTCTTAGATGGGACACCTACTTTTGGGCATGAACACTGCATGTAGCGTCCCTTCAAATCCCTGAATCAAAATCCTGCCGTTTGACAACTGTTGTTGCCAACGGTTACTCGGTCCCTCTTGACTTGATCTGAGAGCCCAGTCCCTCAATACAGGCCTCAAATGAAGCCAGGGCACAGCAATGAAGTCCTAACAGCTTACAATGGGCCAGGGACTGCTCTAAGTACTTTATAGGAATTCACTCCTTTAGCTTCAAGGCAACCTGATATTCCAGAGGGTAAACTGAGGCTCAGAGGGTTTCCGTAACTTGCCGAAGGCCACCTCACTGTTAAATGCCCACATCTGAGCCTGGGGTTTTTAACCACTAAAAGTCATGCGGAGGAGCAGGGGGGTCCTGAAGTGAGCTGCGCTGGGGTCCTCTAACCAGGGAGCCTGCACAGCGACACAGAAATGCAGGCCCAGAAACTGACATCTGTTCTTTTAAGAGAAACCAGAAGACGAGACTTGGGGACAAACATTTTGAAAGAGGGCAAACAATTCCAACCGTCTCCACCCTGGGCCCCTCTAACTGCACTTACTCCACACCCATGTCCCTTCCCTCCAGACCAGGAACTCAGGAGTGAGACTAAATGAGGCTTTGGAGACCGGATGCTTGGAGCTGCTCTTTCTCCCATAGGTGCTCTCCAGGAAGGGCCTAGCCCCAAGCCACACCTCTCCCTCCCTTCCACCTCACCATTTGCCCTTACTCACCCCTCCTTCTCCCCCCATTCACTCACCGGGCCTACAATGTCAGAGACGTGGGAGACAGTGGTGCCTGATGCAGCCCCAAGGTAGAGCACCTTGGCCCCTGGCTTGATATGGATCTGGTCCACGCCGCCCAGGATTGCTGCTGCCAGCTTGGAGCGGAAGGGGTTCCAGGCACGGTACT